AAGATATACATACATAATGCTTAATAAAAACTCAACACTGAGGGTGTCACCCAACGCTTTCATTTGCAAGGCCCTGCAGCCTAAATAAATATAAAACATGAAACGGGGACGGTGACCATTTCAAGAAGCTCGCTTAATATTCCGTGGCCCAGCCGTGCCTCTTTTTATTTATGTTTTATTTCATTGCAATAAATACCCGACATGTAACGGCCTGGCAGACATATAACTGCTAAATGACTCGATGGTGGCTTTTGAAAAATAAAATAAAAACAGAACAGAAATAATGCAGGAGTATTTCACAATGTGCCGGGAGCGGGAGCAGGAGCGGCCCGCGGCAGGCCGAGCGAGGGCCGGATCCGCTTCCAGTGTGCGACGCCTCCCCGCCTCCCCGCCGGCCCCCGCACTGCCGCTTCTCCAGCCTTGGCGTGTTTTCAGCCCCCACAGCGGGCCAGATTTCCGACCGGGCGTGCGCCGCGTCCCACGGGAAAAGCCACATCGGAGAGATTAATCAGCGGCGTTATGATGTCGCTCCCACGCTCCAAAAGGATGGCACAGCTGGCGCGGGGCACCAGCCAATTATGACATTACATCGCCTCATGGTGCCGTCTGCAAGCACGGCACGGGGGGCGCCCACCGTGCCCGTCCACCATGCCGGAGGCTCCGCATCCAAAACTCAGGAAGCAGACTCCTCTCCGAGGACGCCGATCCGATCGGGACCAGGCCGTGCGGGCGGCAACGCAGCTGTGTGGAGCCTGAGCGGGGTTGCCAGGGGTGGGAATTTGTGATTGGTATACGCAGGCCAGCGCATCTGCTGCGACGCTTTAGGCGCATGGCCTAGGTGGACAAACAAAAGCCACAAAGAGGAGGAAGGGACACTCGGATGGTGACGAGGAGCCCAAGCTTGCCGGGCAGGGGGGAGACTCACTCCTGGTGGCCGGGAGATTGTCACACCCCTAAACTTGCCACAGGGGGATTTATAGGAATGCTTACCGAACTCAGGCATGAGATATACTGCCTGTGTGCTAGTTATAAAGGAACTCTGGCTGGGCGGGGCCAAATGCAGGTTTTAATTGACCTGCAAATGGAAGCAAGACATACATAAATATCCTTCAACAGCAACTATTAAAATGGCGAAAAAATCACCAGAGAACAATGAAACATCCGAGGAACAGGAAGCGCAGCCAGACATGTGTGTAAGAGGTTTTACAGAGTGCTTTTTACAGGGAAGGGCACCTTGGCAATCAGTTCATCAATGGCTCCTTCATCGTTCCCCATATTCAGGCAGCGCAATCCAGTAAAAATGCTTTTTTTTTAATGGATTCACCAGATTTGGTGTTTTTCTGCCTTTTTATTCACAGAGAGCGCAAACAAGGCTGTAATTTTCCATTCATATGTTCACCTCTCACAAAATCTTTCACTGATGTCAGCAATAAAAAAACAGTCACATGACTGAGATCTTGGAGGGAAAAACCACACTGACAGGGCCATTCCATCTCTCTCCCATTTAGGAATGCACCTCTGCAGCTTCTGACTCAATACACCGAGGTCAACTAACGCATTCAGCAGTAGTACCACCCCCATCCAACCCACGACTCCTTCAAGCCCCTGAGACGGCCGCAACCCAAAGCCAGCCCTGTTACGGTCGCATACCAGCCCGGGGCTTGACCTTCATCTCGACTTCAGAAGCCGTCCATCAGTGCCAGATCCGGGGAGACAATACTCATTTGGTGACGTTTTCTTTTTAAGGCAAGAGAAGTCTACTTCTGACATTGCCCACAGACACGGAATGCAGTGGGATACTGGCCGCTTGCATATGGAGGCAGTGAGCAGTCACAGCCAGCTGCGAAAGTGACAGGGTGCTTACGAGCAGGACGGGCTGCGTTAAGGCGGGAGGTGAAGTGACCAACCCTGACACAGCATTCAGACACACTTCCTGCAATCTCAGTAGCCATAACGAAGGCCTATGACATTATTAACCAGCACTCAGACACAAAACCGGGGGGGGGGGGGGTACCATACTGCCAGCTTTCTCCTATTTTTCGAGAGAGATGATTAAAAGACAACAAGAAAACGACCAGCCACTTTGCCTCCCCCAGGGACGCTTCTCCACATGCATCCTTATCGAGGCCGAAATACCTCCTGCGAATGGTGGGGACAATTTTCAACATCCATTTACTCACAAGGCTGGTGTGCCCATCCGCGGCCCATCGCGGGCCCCCCAGGGAGAGGCAATCCGCAGAGGCAGAAACCTGCAGTTACTCTTAACCGATACAGTTAAACTGTTAAAGAACATAAAAGTACATAAAAGTAGAGCAGCCCATGAAAGGGCAGCACGCATCACTGCCCGGACGCAGCTCGCCTGCAGGGCGGCGCCGGTGTTGGCTGATCGTTACCGATTGGCATTGGACTGCATAGTGACTTCCAGAAGGCCGGGGCGGCCGGGACTGACGCAACCTCACACTCGAACCCTCAGCTGAGCGCTATAACAGGTGCAGTGCCTCCCTCGCCTCTTTAAGCACCAGGGGAAGCGCAGATTTGCTTTTCAGCGAGAAGGATGCAGCTACTTCAAAGAATCATAGAAACTAAGCCAGCAGCCGAGCATAAAGCCAAGGACAAGAGACACCACTGCTACTTCATCGTCAGAGTGCATCTGCAGGCGGCAAGCGGGGGAGGGGGGGGATGGGTCACGGGACCGCAGCCCGGCTGACGGGGGCTCTGACGGAACTGCGGTGCGCCTCCCCATCTGAGAAGACGATTTACGGGAGGGGAGCAGAGTAAGTCTGAGATTTAGAGACGCCCAGGTGGAGACAGGCCTGGAAGGGGGCATCGATTACCGGCTTTCGCCCTGCAGCCGCTGCATACTAAGAGGTGGCAACCGGAGAAATTTAAAATGAGCTGACACGACCATCGGCACGGATAATCTCCTGATCCAATTCCGAAACAGGCATAATTTCACCACGGTGCCGGGAGCTCAGTTTGCTCTTTCCCGCTGCCACGCCCCCCCCCTGCCCGCCCCTCAGCGCCACATCCGGAGAAGTGAGGCAGATTATCCGCCGGCGACGTGGTTTCGCAGTCCTTGAACACTCGGCGACGCAATATACGGCCGTCGGGCCGGGAGAAATTACCGCTTTCCCCAGGTGGCCCACCAGGCTGACTCGGATCAGAACCGCCTCGGTAAAAGTCACCGTATTTTATGGAATCAATCTAAATCTGATACAGGGTTAGGGGCAGGAATAGATCAAAGCCCCCAGAAGAATCTGTAAGACTTCAACTTTTGCTGTTGCTATCACCAGCACCCCCCCGATCTGGTTCATCATTAGAAACCGCGAAGGCTGTTACAGGATAACAGTCACTGAAGTGCCCTGTAAATTTCACAAAGTCATAAACATGAAGGACGGTGCAGTGGGTCCGGCGGTGTCTGCGGCACGCTGTAAATCCAGCGGCGCGTTAGAACCTGCGGCCACCATGACGCAACGGGCAGCACCTGCCGGCCTATAGATTTGCGTGTGAAAGCAAAAATATTTATTATTAAAAACTGCCTATTCCAAAGCCGCCGTCTGGAATCGCGGGGTCGGCTGAGACCCCTCCCTTCCTAACGGAGCAGGCCAGCACATAACCGGCTGACAAACACGCCCCCTCCCCCACCCAAGAGCACCCGCTTTTTCATGAGGGGCACGCAGCCGCCCGGCATCCTGCAGGGACACCCCGCCATACCACCACAGGCGTTCCAACGGCCACTAGCGTGCAGCGTGGACTGGGGAGGGGCAGGCCCGGCACTGGGCACATGCACCCCCACCCCCCCCCCACCCCCCACCCAGCATGGAGAACATGTGGTTCTTGTCCATGCATGAAATGAGATCAATCTAGATGTTCATACAGGGAAACGGGCAGCAGGGAAGACCAGCAGTTAGTGCATCGGTCCAGCAGCAGAGAGCACACTCCACCCAGCAGCATCCATCTCCATCTCCATCTCTGACTTCCTCTCCATCTCTCAGCAGCTCCTACATTTGCCATCACCATATCTGAATTCAGTACTGGGAATTAAACCATTACTCAGTGTAATAAACAGCAAGCTGTTGAGCGATCAGAAAAGCAAACATTCTTAATTTGGATTCTTTTTTCAGTGCATTTGCTAATTAAATTCCCCCCCCCCCACTCAAATCTCACCTTGATGGAACCCGGCAGCACGCAAAGATTTAAAGGTTTGCATAACCCCCTGCCCTCCCCCCCCCAAACAGCTGATAGGACAGGTCATTAAGTCCCTGAGTTCCTGTTAGATGTTGCCTGCCCCCCCCCCCACATGGGGCAACCATCTGTCCCCATTGGATAGTACGGCTATAATCTTCATTACTGCTCAATGGTGGGGGGTAGGAGGCTGGTAAGGATTCTGCCTGAACGGCGACTCAAAGGTAAAACAAACAAATAAAAATGCAACCTGGCTTAGAATAAGGGAGGAAACCATGAAGGGAACTATTTAAAGAAAAGGAACAGAAAACAAAAGGCCCGCCAGTCGAGCCGCGCCGGATCTCCGATTACCTTCGCAGGGCGACACAGATCCGGCCTGCATCATTTAACTGTTCTGAAGGCAAATATTTCACCTTAATAAAACAGCCTGCTGTATCCATAATAATCGATTGGAAGTCAGTCTGCTGACAAGTATCTGCTGTACTGCAGGTCCTTCCCTCAAAGGAGTGATGGGGGGGGGACACACACTCCCCCTTCCAACAACAATTACAGCTCTCCCACATTCATATTTTAATGCCCCAATAGACTCATCATTTTTTTTCTTAAGAAGGTACAGAACACGATGGTGGAAGCAGGTGCGCAACAGCCATTTACCAGCATCATGTTCAAAACTGAAAAATGATAATTAACAATAATAATGATAATATATCCAGTTGTAGGAGACTCAGTAAAAAGAGGTCCTGATAAGCAGAGTGGTGTTTTCCCCTCCCTCAGGTCAGGGCCCGGGTCAGGGGCCCAGGTGGGGTGGTACCTACCTGTCGTTGATGCTCCAATTGAGGCAGAGGTTGAGGGAGCTGAGACTGCGGCAGCTGCGTACCACCTCCATGACGGTCTCGCTGCTGAGCTCCGAAATGTGCCGAAGGTCCAGGCTGCTCAGGTTCTTCAGCTGGTGGGAGAGACAGGGACTGGCTGGGTTAAAATGGCCAGAGTGGGACAGACAAAGTCATAAAGAAGTGACCCACATCGAGCATCTTCCAGAGCCGAGCCCACGCCGCCGCTCCCTTCCTTTCTCCATGCAGTAATAGTGTTGGGGCGACAGCCATTCCATACTATCATAATATTTCATTTGAAATGCGCTCCAGCCATCACGTCGAATTTAACTGCTCCCCGTGTGCCATCAACCTCATCCAAGCCAGCGTTTAACACTGCAAACAGGCTAAATGTTTTCACTGCGAAATCCGGCTGTTTTGGCAGCAACCCGTCAACGCAACGATATAGGGTTACATTAACGTTCTGGGACAAATAACGTGAGCCCCCGAAATCGCTGAAATAGTTCAATCTTTATGGGTCATTAGCGTATAATAGCTAACACAGAATACAGGGGCCCCCTTGAGCTCAAAAAATAGCCTGATGCTAATTACTGAAAGGGTTCAGTACCTCTAATAAACCTGGGCACTGTAATTACACTCGCAATTACAGTCAATTAGCAGAAATGGCGTTGCTGGAATTTTGATGATTTCGGGACACTGCTACAGACAGGGCAGCAGTGAGGCGGGGGGGTGGGCGGAAGGTGAGTCACATATAAGCAAAACATGCAGTAAATAATAATAATAAAAAAAAACTCTTCTCATGAAGAACAGCAGAAGCTCCCCTCTCACTATGAGCCTCACGTTCGATATTCCGACTCCCATCATACATAAAGCTTCCTGACACAGAGGTCACAAAAGGGCACAGAGGTCACAAAATGGCACAGAGGTCATCTACTCCAAGACATAACATGCCAACAAAAGGCGAGCAGTGTCACCAAATATCAATACGACGCAGGAAGGTCACTGCCAAGTTAATTAGCTACGTCTGGCTTCCTGAAGGTCTCTCCTTTGTGCCAGAACTTTCTCCCTGGACATCAAAAGGGGTCCTTTCTACATACATGTAGCGATAAAAGGCATGACCACTCTTGTTTAATGAGCTGAGGAATTCCAGGGATCTGAAGATCAGAGATCCTGGAAAACAGCAGAAAAGTATGAAAAACCAAGTACACTGCACTTAAATTTGACCCTAATGATAAGCTAAACTTCAAACCATTTTTCAATTAGATACTTCCTATTAGAATTACCAGCAGCTAGTCGAGAAACTGTACAAACTTTGTACCAAATGGGGTTTCACAGTAGTCAGTAAATTTACAATCCTAGAGGGAAATAGCTAAGCTTGAAAATGCAACCATTCGGCACCACAACAAGCAATACAAATTTAAGAAAATGAAAAGGAATAATATTATACAGCGTTACACAGTCATACTGCATCCACGGTCAAATAACCGACATTAGCTAATGTCTTTCGCTGAAGTCGCCTGACTGTTTCTTCACAGCAAATTTTAACGGGCAGCAAAAACAGACAAAAACTTTTACAGTGAGAATGCCTCAAGGTGCCGATGGTCTTTATTCCTGCATAATGAGGCCGAGAGCCGCAGCACGGCGCCGTTTCATGGCGTTTCTGCATAACACAGCGCCTGCCGGCCCGGACCAGGCAGGACGCCGCCCACCCACGTGCCACCCGGCGCCCCCCGCACCCCCTCCCAACCCCGTGCGTCAGCCGCGTTTCTGACGTGACTCCTCATGCCTCGGCCCAAATGGCCCCCACCTGGCCGCCGCCACCGTCTGCAGAGGGCTTCGACAGCGCGGCAGGATGGAACGCGCGCTCGTCAGATGCAGAAAGGGGCCTGACAATTAGCGGCTGAAAATGTTCATGTAATTGTGTCATTTTTATCACCCAGATGGTTTATTGCCTCTTGTGTTTCGAATGTACAAGCCTGCAAATTGCTGCATTAGGGCCCACTTCTCCCAGACGGCTCCTCCTGCTTCCATCTATTACGCCCCAATCAATGGGCCCACTTTGGAGAAGAAGATTAATCATCTCTTCATCCTTAAATAATCAGCCTCTCCACCCCCCTCCACACACACCCCTTCCTCCCTCATTCAGCCTGTTTTCACACGTTCCTTCCCACCCCGCCCCCCACGGTGAAGCAGCGCTTCCACCAGCACCTCAAGGGTCCGTTGGACACCAGATAATCTGCTGCTTGGGGCCAAGGTTTGGCGGCAGGATGGGGAAGGCTAGGAACTGGGCCGGAGATCGACTCAGAGCAGAGAATGGGGGGACAGCACCGGGCAGTGTTGGGTTCATACAGGCCATCATGGACACCTGTGTGTATGACACGCCTCATCACACCATACGGGGGCCTCGGTGCTGGGCCCTGTGAACATGTCACACCTCACTTCACCACACGGGGGCCCTGGTGCTGGGCCCCTGTGAACATGTCACACCTCACCTCACCACACGGGGGTCCCGGTTCTGGGCCCCTGTGAACATGTCACACCTCACCTCACCACACGGGGGCCCCGGGGGCTGAACCTCATGGACGAAGATGCAGATGACGCTCGATCCATGGGGTGGACGCCAGAAGATCAGTGCGCATAATTTCCCGGCACCGTGGCACTGACGGAGTTCCAGGGAGTGAGAGATTTCCATGCTTGTACACAGCAGGAAAGACCGCTCTGGGGACTGATGTCACAGAATATTCTGGACGCTTAATAGCCCGATTGCAGCAGCATACTATATATACACATCATGGAAGATTCAGTGGCGATTAAGAAAGGAAATTCACAGCAAGAGGCCATCAAAAAATGAATATATACTATTAAATTAACCAGGATAATTACCGCAGTGTTCATTACCATCAGCGCTATACATTATATTATTAATGCCATACGTATAATAATATGACCACATCATGAATAATTACCAACACTTAAATATCTACTTCAGCAGTATTATAAGCACCATTTATACTGTAAGTATGCTCATAATTTTTTCCCATGCAAAGTGGGCAAGATTCCTGATGGGGGGGGGGAGGGGAGGGAGGTAAACTGATATTGTGCCTGTAAATTGTCCCGCTACACACCTCATTCTCATGCTTTTAAACATACATCCGTCCATCCATCCGTCCATCCATCCATCCATCACAACCACATATCCGGGACATGATCACAATGTGCTTTATTGTACTGGAATTAAACATATAAAAATAGGCGCTAAGCTAGCAGATGGCTCTTCAGACGGGACCCAAGGGCAGCTGCAGGTTGGGTGCTATGAGTGGACACAGAGAAGCAGCTTGTAGCTTTAGGTAACATTCAGGTACCCCTGGGAGAGCGACCTTCTGAGGTCCATCAAATGGAAAAGCAGCCAAAATGCACACCACCCAACTGTCTGCTGCACATGATACTGGAGAAACAGACCACCGACTGCAATATGAAACATCACCACTGATGGAGGACGCGCCATTTCTCATCCTACTTATCACTACATCTGGCCTCCCGAAAAATGGGGAAGGTATTAACTTTTATCTTTCACAATAAACAAAGAAACTGGTAAAAAAATAAATAAATAAAATGGAACACCTGGTGAGTGAGCAATTAAAGATCCCTTGATCAGGTCCTCAGGTGACAGAATCAGCTGATGCAAACAGATTAGAGAAGCCACGGAGGAAAGCAGCAGCGTGATTCTGAGGAACACAGCCGGATCGGGAACACGAATCAGCCGATCGGAGCTCCCCAGTATCGCCAGCGCTGTAGGGATGGGAGGGCCGGGGAGGCGGTGTCCCTCCTGCATGAGGGATGGAGTGGGCGGGGCCACGTCACAGAGGGAGGGGGAGGTGGGGGTTCCCGTCACGGCCAAACGGAATGCAAAGGAGAGAAGGAAAATCAGTACCCATGAATGAAAGCTACATTCACATCTTGCAGTTGCCCACCAATTTTTTTTTTATCATTATCTTTGTTGTGTAAGGTGCCAAACAACGGTCTCCCTCCAAAACTGAACCCTCCCCACTGGCGGACTGGAAGCCAATCGAGTGCCGACACATGGCCAGCGCCCCAACCCCCCCGGTGACAGGCTCATCTCGCATCTAGATGATGGGGGAAGGAGGTGAGGACCCATATATGCTCATGCCCACAGATAAACACACATCTGAAATTGCTTACGGCCTCAGCACTTTCACAGAGCGCCTCCTCTGGGCCCTCGGGGTGCAGCAATTTTTTTTTTTTTTGGGGGGGGGGGGGGGCTAGGCCTTTATCCACAGAGCTATTTGTTTATGAATTGCACTCAGCTCAAATATTAATACTCAATTTCTTGGGTGGCAGTCCGGACCAAATCGCATTCACTCCCCACCCCCACAAAGCAACTCAAAAGTACCTTGCAGGTAGCTTTGGGGGAAGCCAGTCCCTCAACGATATAATGCAAATCGGCAGTTTAAAATTTCACCAGGCTCTGGCGGCGGCTGGTGACACAAAGGCGAGATGGGTTATGAAAATGAGCGCATTAACACTGCCCCCCCCCCACCGCTGTAAGCAGGCCGTGACACGAAAAGGCCAGCAGGGTTAATCCAGAACCATGTTATTTCGAGGGGGCCTTCAGGATGTGAGGCAGGGGGGGGCTGGGAGCAGAGAGATCCACGCCGCACCATGTGTTCCCATTTGCTCGGACATGCGTGATTGATCCAACCTTACTGATGATCCGCTCTGTCCCTGCGGTGTATATATAATTAATAATTTCCAATTAGGCCTCTTCTTTCTCTGCTTATTTTTTAAAATAATATACAGAGAAGGTTTCTCATTTCCACTGTTCCCACAGCTAATTTCTCATCACACGTTTGGCAGCTAATGCGTCTAATTACTCGCCGCGCGCATAAAAACAACGAAAGCGGCGGATCGCGTCTCTCTGCAGCCAGTGGGAGCCGCGACCCTCCCGTCAAACACCCAGCACAAACAGAGGCCCACCACTGCACACTGTTTTTATTCCGCTTTTAATTAATTACAGGGAAATGTTTTTAGTCTTGAATCCATAATGGAAACAATACTTATTATTTTTGGCGTGAGAGCTGGCACCTGGCTGGAAGCG